AGAGTTACTCGGTAAAATAGAAAACCCATATTGCAAATCGTTAACTTGTAAAATAACAATCCCATATCGAACCGGACTGTTCCAGTTGCAATCACCGATCCATGTTTCACATTTCCTTGTTCATGTGTTTTCTTACTAATTGCATTGTGTTCGCGCTCTTCCTTTCTTGATCTTCTCCCATCTTCTGCTGCCAGACATACGTTTTTAACTCGCGTCATATACTACTTATATCAATATAAGTAGCAACCCACCATAGTACACAACACATAGGTAAATCAAAAGTGATATAATGACTTTTATAAATTTTAGATTTACCATTTCATTAGTATATATTTGAATATATATATAGTATATACATTTTATATGCACATCTATTATCTTTCCGATTGAAAACGAACACCAAAGTTTTCATTTTGATGTAGCTTTAATAAAAACTTAATTTCAAGTTTTTTTAATACCACTTTTTTATTGTTCCGCACAGAATCTACCAAACTTACCACCTGTATCCAATTGGAATTATGAAGATACCACAACATATATTTCTAATCTTAATTTACAAAATTCTATTCCTAATATAGTTGATAATCATATGATAAGTCATTATCAGACTACACAAAATTTATTAAACTCTAGTAAACAATCTTTACCGTCATCATTATTTCTTCCATCTTATGCAGATAGTGGTTGTTTAAGTTTAAATGATGAAACTAGTAGATTAATGTAAATCATTCTACTTCTACACCTGTACATACAGTAGATAATGATAGTACTACACCTACTTCAAATATTAGTACAACAACAATTAGTCCAATTATAATTGATAGTTTAAGATAATATGATGAATGAAACACAAATTATTGTTGTGTCACCGAATAATATTCAAACAAATCCAATGACTATGAAAGATTATTGTAAAAACGCAACAACAGTTAATACATCTACTATTACAATGAATACTAATACTACTTGTACTAATCCAAACAATGATCAATTGGTTGAACAAAAACAATTAAGAATAGTCAATTATTCTGAAGAAAATCAAACACCATTAATGAAACAATCAATGGAAGAATATAAAGAAATTGTAATATGTTAAATATATCATCGAATATAATTAAAAATAACAACATGATGAAATGAATCAAGATGAATCCCATTCAGATAGTGAGTTAAATCTAAGTACAGAATCAATTAATCGAAAGAATCGAGCAGAAGTAAAAGTACGTGATCAGAATACATTGTTGTTTCGTTGTTTTTTTCTTCTTCTTTAAAAACAATCCAAAACTCCATGTTATGTCTTTTATTAATTATAATAAAAGTCATATAAATGGATCAATCTTAAAGTTTGAATTCGTTTCATTTTAACATATCGTTTACTTCAGTTTGATAAAGAGTTATTGAAGAAGATTCTATTATTATTAAACTTACATATAACATTGCCAGAGAAAGTTCTGAAGTTCTTATCTAACTTATTTAACAAGGTTATTGAATGTATAATGACAGTTAATCCAGTTAACTTTGATCCTATGTGACTATTTACTTCTAAGTAATTATTTTGTATACTTAAATAGATTAATTTCAATTCATTTTATTCAACAAAGCTTCAATGAATATTATTAGAATTTGTTCCATTGAATTTAGTTTTAAAAAAAAGTACTTTTATCGATACCTTTCATAAATAAAACACTACGATCTTTATAAGTAACGAAAACACTATATTGCATAATTTTAATTATATTATTTCCACTGGTTGAAATCATGAGTCGATTGAAGCTAGACCACCATGGAAAACCTGGAAGCACTGGATGGCCGTTTCGTCCTATGATGGGACTCCTCAGCAGTGCGCATCCACGATCCTGCCCCCCGCGAGACAGAACATATCAGTCTCACGCCAGGTGCTTGACCAACTAGACCGCTGGGGCGGCATCCAACAGTGTTGATGTCTAGCTTCAACTAATCCACGAAGTTGCGCCACCGTACACCATTGTCTTCAGTGAGTCGATATCTCACAACAGACCTGGTTGTGTAGTCGATCTCATGTGATAAGAATGACAGTTTTTATTTGGGTAAGGTTATAATGAATTATTTTGGTTGATTGTGTATTAGATCTTATGGAAATGAATGTATGTCATTGAAAATCCCAATATTTCAGAAATCGTTTTATTTGTAAACTTAATTATTCAAACTTTTCTAATATCTTTATTGTCTTGTCACATATCCAAATCGTAGTTTGTTTGTTTATGTTGCTATTTTTAACTGACATCATAGATTATTAAAAAACAGTGTTTCAATGTCTGAGGCTTACGTATACTTTTAAATGTGATAGATTGTTAGATAATAAATAAACAATCCACTATTGAATTATTGAAATCAGTAAACAATTCAATATGTAATAAGAATGATAATAACTTGTTTTCACTTTCAGATACAGCCATATGCTCTTCGTGGTAATATGAAGTATTTCGTTGTCCATTATGTTCAAAAGATGAAATATTTAGTCGTGGACATTTAACAAATCATTTACAAGATCATCAAAGTAATTTTAAACGTGAAGATTATAAACAGTTTGTTGTTTTTGTTTTAGTGAATTAAGTTCAAATAGTTCACTTGAACGTCATTTATTAACTCATACAAGTAAGTTGTACCTTTTTAGGATTTATAAAATTTGAGGGCAAGAAAACGCTTTTTTTCTAATTAAAATCACACGGTGGTTTTTACTTGTAACTTCTCATTGTTATTTATGACTGTAATTGATTAGTCTCATATTGGCATATGTGCATCCTATGCAGATTGCTTTATAAAGCCTTAAGTCACAATCTTTTTAAGCAAAAATGGATAATGGCTAACAGTGGAATCCATATTTGGGACATATTAGCTGGATGTAACTACATCTCAAAGTTGATGTTCACTCCGGTGCGAGTCCCAAATAATTCGAAACGCGCATCCTGGATTCCACTGCTAACCACTATTCATCTTTGCTTAAAAAGTTCTTTCTGAGTGTTTTGTAAATAACTTGGTCATTTGTTAATATTTAATGAAAGAGTAATAAAAACAAAAGATCTAAGAAGCACTAAATATATGTTTTATTCTAATTTGTAACTTTACATACGTCTTGACTGCCTTTTGTTTATATGAAACTAAATAAATGAAAATTTCACTTAATTAATCATAAATAGAATGAGATTTTCGAATACATACATCATTGTTGGTTTATGCATTAATTTATTAAGTTAATTGAGGGAATGTTAGTAAAGGTAATTTTAAAAATGCAACTGGAATGAATATTAGAGTGAGAGTTGCATATGAACTTATCTCCTTCTTCGAGAAATATAAGGTATGTCACATGAACAAAGATGGATAGTTGCTAGCGGTGGAATCCAGGACGCGCTTTTCGTCCTGTTGGGACTCGTCAGTTGGATGTACCTGCGCCTCAGAGTTTTTGTTCACTCTGGGACTCCAATCCAGTACCGGTTGCTTCAAACGCTATCGCGTTATCCACTTAGCTACTGAGTCCTGATAGCCACCTGCTTGTGCAATGGGGTGAAGTTATATTCAAAGAGACTGATCAATTACAGTCCTAAGCAATGGAAAGATACAAGTAAACAACACCAAGTGAATATAAGTCACATGAAATTAACTCTTCAACTAAAGTTAGGGATTTTTTCAGATGTTTGTAAGGAAAATTAATACATTCATACAATTTATCAGTATAGAGTTATGGAGATTGTTGAGTTTTAATTGAGATCACAAATCCGTCGATTTTGAAGTTAGATGTTACCACCGTTGGATGCCGACCCAGTGGTTTAAGGGTTAAGTGTTTTCGCAAGAGACGGAAACTCCTGGCCTTGAATCCCGCGTGCGGGATCGTGCATGCGCACAGCTAGGCGAGTCTTATACTAGATTGTCTTTACTAAGATTTATTCATTTAGAAATTGGTCAGTAAAACTGGTGAGTTATTGCTATGATTAGGAAATGATGATTTTTTTTCGATTCAATATTTTGGAAGCAGAAACTATAGAGACTATAAATGTCAATGAAACCTGACATATATTTAGTTTTTTTAAATAGCCAGCGTGTAAAACATTATCGAACGGTCATTATATTACTTCAACTTCATATTGTGTATTATATTGCATGTCTAATTTCTTTGTTATAGATCATCGTCCATTCAATTGTAATTTATGTGATAAAGCATTTACACTAATGGTAATTTAAGTCGACATGTACGTACATCTCATCAAGCAAAAGCTACAACATAAATAATTTGACTTCATTCACTTCAACAACAACATCATCCTTATCACCAACTATTCAGTCAATAACAAAACAATCAACCTATTTACCCAATTGGTTTCAATCTTCAAATAGTTTACATACTTCACCTATATCAAATACTTATACTAAATTAAAATCATCATCTATTCAACATACTACTAAAATGAATGAATATCAAGATCGTAGTAATATACAAAAATCCCCGATAAAATCATCAGATTTAAATAATCATGGAATAAACTCATTAAAAATTTTAAACTTTCATTCAAGAAATGATTTATGTATATCAAAAATGAATTTAATTCAGTCAACTTCTAATTCAGATATAATAATAATAATAATAATAATAAGCAATCTAATGTGAATACAAAATCATGTGTAACCAATTTACAGAATGTATCATCCTATTTCAATAAAACATTACAAATAGAACCAATTAAATTTACATCAATCAATTCAGAAGAATATCAAACAGACTATTTACCAAATTTACCACCAAATTATTCAAATAATTTAACAGACTGGTCAACAAGTTACATGAAACATGAACAACAGAATGGAGAGGAACATTTTAATAAGTTTACAGAGATTGAAAGTTGGCCATCTTATAAATCAAATACTACATCGTCACTACTTCAAATGTTTACAAATTATTGGTTACAATTAAGTAAAAATTATATCTTAAATAATTCATCTCAGACAAGTTTAGATGCACGAACAGTTATTGCTAGTTTATTGCCTTCATTATTGTTAAAAAATAGTACAATCAGTAGTACATTTGAATCAAATGATACATCGTCATCAGTTAAAAATAATGAATATGATATCAATGAGAATCTTTCACATTCGGAATCACCAAGAATTACTATACGTGAAATTCCACCATTGATTACAAATGAAATAGAAGAGAATATGGATTATAAATTTCATAAAACATACAATTTTAATCCAACAGATTATGTTATTTCTTCGTCTCCTAATACAAATCTTGAGAATGATCAATATCCGCGAAAATCATCAAAATATATTAATAAAACCGATAGGAATATAAGTAGAAAATCACGGAACACAAAATTGTGTACCACAGTAAGTGTTATTTTATTACATCTATTTACATTGACAATGTTTGTATTATAATCACATGTAACTAGTAACTTCATTTCAACATAGTTTATATACTTCAAGATGAAAATGATGCCATTAGAATGTTGACTTCTGGTTATTTATACATCACAGTAGGAAATATTGCCAAAAAGAATTATTGAAGGGCATAGTAACAAGTGAATTAATCTTTATGAAAACTTTATTCTCTAGTTTATTTGCTTCTGCCCAGTCTCATTGTATGTAATATTAAAATATTTTACACAAAGATAATTTTAATGATACTTTCCTATATTTAGAGACTTAAGCATTGACTACATCAGTTTTTCTCCGGAATAATTTATATAAAACTTGATAAATCGATTGAGATTTTATTATTTGGGGGGGGGAGAGGGAGAATGGCAGATTACTAAGGTAGTATTTATAACATTGTACTGAAATATATTGACATAGTTATAGTAAAGCACCTTTTAGAAAAAAATATACAAATAGCTATTTGTCAGTATAAAAGATGTGTCAATTAGTGACAACAATCAAATTTAGTGGTATATAAGAGTCATAGTTATAAAGATATTTTGGGGATAATTTTCTGCTATATGGGATAGACATTATTATAGTACCATGAAGATTATTATTCTATTAAATGAGTTTATTATTTTTGATAAATTCCATATAGTACTACTTATTTATTAGATGGTTCAATCTGATGATACCTTCTATTCTTTTTTAATTTGACATAGAAAACATTTTCAGTTCGTTATATATTGGCTAAGAAAAAGAAAAGTCTCTCTGTGATAGGGAAGAGAAAAAGGACAAGAAAAGTTACAGAAATGAAATTTCAACCATTGAGTAAGTTACAAAATGATTTGGTTTAATGATTAATGTTATTCATTATGATTTGAAAAAGTTTACAGCATAAATACCTCAATGTAACATGGATATTATCAATTTAATCACCATGATATACAATAGTATATAGTAAATTTAAGTTATAGTAACTCTGAGAGAAACAAGTATTATCAGTCATTGATAAGGTTGACTAATTATGTGTGAGTTAATAAAACATTATTCTCCTATCAAATTAGATTTTAAACAAGAAATGTAACAGATATGTTTGTCTTACAAAATATCAAGTTCAACAGTTCTTATTTATAATCAGATAGGGATTTTATGGATATTATAGTAGTTTCAATAGTTGAGATCATGAGTCAATTAAAGCTAGATCACTATGGAAAACTTGGAAGCACTGGACAGCCGTTACGTCCTAGTATGGAACTCCTCAGTAGTTCGTATCCACGATCCTGCCTCGCGAGATTCGAATCAAGGATCTATCAGTCTGGCACGCAAACTCTTAACCTTTAGATCACTGTTTCAAAAATCCCATACAAAATACTGCTCTTTCCCCTTCTCAAATCTATAACTAGTGCTTACAGTTAGTTCACTAACTGACAGATTGATTTCGATATACTTTAGAATACTTAAACTCATCAAAATACTCAATAAATGAAAGAAAAACAAGACAAATCAAAGATGAAACTCAATGTTAACAAAGACATAAACAACTTTTGATTAAGTATACTCTATGAATTACATTCATTAACGAATGTTAAACAATATGAGATCAATCTAAACATGTTTAAATAAAGTCCACATTTATTTACCAATAAAACACTATGCCTTATTTTCAAGTAAAGTATATAATTTCAATAAACAAAACAATACAAACATGTTATTTATTGAAGTGATTAAATAAAACATTGAAAATGACCTGTTCTCAATCATATTAGGAAACAAAACACACACACACGCAGAACTATTTTATGGCTTTTTAATTTCCACATTTCCGTTTAAGAAAAAAAGAAAAACAAAACAACGGAGCCATTATGAATCAAAATGAAATTTACACATATACACATCAAGATTTCCACGCACGAATACAGATGCATATGTACGGTTTAGATGTAAAAGTAGCCATTTTTCTTTATTCAATCTTATTTCTCTCCCATATAATTTGGTTTCTTTCTTTTCTTTTTTTGGATTTGGTAGTTGATTGTTTTGTCAAAAACTGTCAAATGTAATTTTAAATGAGAAAAAAATACAAATAGAATAGTTTGTATTGGAAGTTATGTGTTAGTATAAGTAGATACAGATACAAAAGTGAATTAAAGTATTTAGACCTTTTGTATCTTATCATTTAGTTAACTTAAATGAGTAACAAGTGAATTTTTGTCAGAGTTGATCATTTTTCTAAGGAATAATAGTTTAAATGGAAGGAGTAATATGTGTTAATGAATTGTTTTTGACAGTGATTCATTCAGTTGGAAGCTACTTGATTTTTAATGGTTATTTATTTAAGAGTAGTGATCTAAAAGTTAAGCAATCATCGTTAGACCTGTGGGTTTCGTGGTCGATCTTGCATGAGGTTATTATTGTGGGATGGTGGAGAAGATTTGTAGCTCAGGTGGATGATTTTGGTGGTGTTTTGTTCTCTGAGCTGGATGGTTTGGTCGTGGAGCTTTCATCGTTCTTCTGAACGACATTATGAGCACAAACTTCAGATAGAAGTGTACTGATGATGTCGTTCAGAAGAACGATGAAAGCTCCGCGACCAAACCATCCAGCTCATAGAACAAAACCCGATCAAAAATTTATGGTTGTACAATCTTAAGGATTCTTATACTAGGGAAAAACGCATATCCAAAGTTTTTTGGTTTTAAGGGTTGTTTAACTAAGATCGGTTCGTGATATGGACTATGAAATTAAATGGAAGTTTATTAAGAACTGTAAGAAAAAAGTTAGTTATCGCTTTAGACTGTTAAAACGTATTTTAATAATGTAGTTGTCAACTTGTATTTAGACATTTAGTTATTCCTTATTTTAAAGACCAGAACTGCATACGCTGTCAAAACTAACAGCTTCAGAGCTCGACTTGAATTAGCTTAAATGATAACCCAAAATCTCCTGTCTAGATGTTGGAAATAGGATATATTTTCCTACTAATACAGACTTAAATCCTAATCTGAAACTAAACTTTTTTGTAAATCAAATCTATTTTTATTGAGACATTAGTTGTTTATCTCATTACAAAAGACTACCTTTTAAGCAATATTTATGTACATGTATTTTCACTCTACAGGCCCTTTACAATGTGATTTTAAACAGAATAAATCATACAATTTAAAACAAAATGAATTAACTGAAAATCAATTTTCCCCATATAGGTAAGTTTGTTTCTGTCAAAACATTTGAAAAATATGATAAATTGAATTACAACATATATGTAGATAGAGTTAAGACTAAATTATGACATTGTTGCACAATTTCTGTCATCGCATAGAATAGTACTGATAATTAATGGTTAGTGTTATAACTTGTCGTTTGAATGCTTATTGTCTTGGCTCTTTTAATGCTACTTTTTGTATCTGGTCGTCACTGATTGTTATGTCGGAAACGCTTATCACTTTTACTTGGAACGAGGGACGTCTGCAATTCTCATGACGCGAAAGTAAGAACACAAAGACTGGTATAAGTGAAGATTTATTAGCCCTAAAACACTATGACGACGACTCTAGTAGAAAATACACTCATTTATACATTGATTGTACACCCATTTCGATTAATGATTAGGATGAAATCACATGTATGGAAAATACTTAGAGTTATAACAAACCACATACTGAGCATAGTTCATGCCAATGGAATACAAGAATATCGTATATTATACAGAATAAAATATCATACGAGAAAAGAAAAGAAATACTACATTGAGTAATCATTACATTGGATCAAAACGGAAGTAATCTTGAACAAAACTCATAATGAGTAAATCAATCGGAAATTGACTTTTCTTTCCATCATATCAGTTAGCAATTTAGAATACTTATGATAGAGAGAATAGATTTTTTACCTGTGCCTTGACAATTACTAGTAGTTTCTGTATGATTATAAATCAGTTGTTGTTAGCTGAATAGCTTCCTTTAAAAGTTTTAACATTCATTTTAGTACTGCAAAATTAGTTTGCTTACTCCTCAACCTTTTAATTTGTATAGTATGTTAATCGTGTTTTGTGTTGAAATAAATGATATCGATAATGTTTCAGTTTCCACTGAGCACCTTTCATTCTGAAATCTTTATGAAATGGCTATTCGCTATTTAATATTGCATGATATTAAATCCAAACCATCAAACTTCTCACTTAATAAATTATGGATAATTGTTTACTGTAATCAGTCTTAGTAAAATACCACTTTTTGAGTCCACGTGGTTGCGATCTATTATAAGATGGATTTTGTCATTATTTAATCTCATCCAGTATAGCCACTGAAAAGTTGTGGGACCCCTAGCACCACATGTCCATGACTCTAATTGGGATTAAACTTGAGACATTCATGTTTCATACAAAACACGTTACTTTAAGACCAATTAGTCAGTGTATAGCGATCCAAATTAACAATTTTCATCAGTGTTTTGCAATATTTCCAACCTTATTTACATCATCATTATCTATTTTCAATGTATTGTTTGGTTTTAGGTCACAAAGTTTACAAAACCAATATATTTTATCAAATACTGATTATGTGTGTTCACCGAACAATTTATCCAATACATCTAGTAGACGTTCACCTATTCAATGTAGTTACAATGATAATTATTTAACAGATATAACTGAATTAAATTATACCCAGTCATTAGAATCTAACTCTGACGAAGTGCTTGACCTTTCTTTACACAATAGAAAACAAGATACCTTGGAAGGAAGTTATACACTTCCACACGAAGTTCATACACCTGGTAGATCTAATATTCCATGGATGAAAAAACCTGATATTAGTTTAAAACCCCCAGTTTTTACACCAATCAACACATCTGACACTTTGTGTTCTTCGTATACAAATACTAACATGTTAGCTCAATCTGAAGCGGACATAAAACTTTCTAATCAGGAGTTTAATTTAAACAATATTCTACATGATATTTATAGTCTACCAATTATGCAACATATGAAGACATTGCCAACTCCAATTAATAATGAATTTAAAAGAGATACAACTACTGGTACTACTATCTCTAACAATAATCCATTGAATATTCTGCCATTACCAGCCAATACATCAAATATTAATAAAATGTTTCCAGTTCATTCAACTATCCCAACAACACTGATTCAAAAAAAGAATTCATATAAAGATGCGCCTAAATTAATCACTTGTCCTATAGCTGGTTGTCAACAAAAGTTTCCATGGAACAGTTCATTAAAACGACATATTTTAACACATACTCGTAAGTTGTATTATTTTCTAAGCGTTGTTGATGATATTGATGACTTGTACAAGATATCAAAATGATCTTTTATCATCATATTGAAATGATATTTAGCACCTTCATTCTTGGAGTCGATCAAAACACATTAATTTCTTCGTGGATAATATGTAGAGCAAATTTTACTAGTGATTATTACTTGATTATCTCTATATTTGAGTGAGAAGCATTTGACTTCACCTTAACATATATTAATGATAGCTATTCTATAAATCTAAGAGATAATGGATGGTCATTAATCAAATAACATTTGATTCTGGCACATAAAATTAATTAACAGATTATTACTAGTGGATGAATTGCTAGATAAGTCGAATGAATTTTTTATGTGCATAATATGATTCTAACAGAAATTTGACAGACGGTTGATTTTAAGTGTGATTTTAGTCTAAACTGAAAACTACTTTTCATTAACTCGGTTTTCAAAGCTTCCGAATCATTTAATGGTACTGCTTGTGAATTACATTTATAAGTGGCTGGCATGAATGTCTTATTGTGGATTCGATTAATCATGTTCAGTATTGATAATTTCTTTAATATCAACTTATATCCCATCAAAATGTAGGTTTTTATAATTACTCGATAGCTTAATAAGTATCATTCTGAAATTCGTATGGTTTACAACTAGAATTCGGTTTCAGTAAGAAGACCACTAAGCATTCACTTACATGTATACCATTTCAAAAGCTTCTAAGTTTTAGGAACCATACCACGAATTTCACCGTTATCCGCTGGTAGACTATTCAAAGATATGGCTTTTTATGTCATAACGGATCAAGCAAATTAACTGTTATAAAGTTCAATCCTTAATAAATGCTACTGATAATATGGTTCGAATATAATCTTTCGTAAATAAACTTAAATATGTGCGAATGTTAAATTTGGATAGCAATGAGGATGCCCGTTCGCATGCTAAGCGAGCGAGAGCCATAACAAAGCAATAATGACGCGTATGGAAGATGGCTGAGAACCAACTCCATTTTAATTAAGCGTTACTCCGTATTTATAGGCAGACAAAATAAGCTACAGACATACAATGAGTCATGGGACATGAAGTGTACACACATATACGCTCATGTGAAAACAGCCAAGGCTAATAAGCGAATAATTAACAAGGTCAAAATATGACTCGAGTAGAATGAATAGAATGGAATGTCCGAAAACTAGAATAAGATATATTATGGGCTAAAATTAATGACTAACACTACAGCAACATAATTCAGTGATTGAAATCTTTACCGTACCTCAGCAATCTGATATTGTTTGATTGAAATTAAGTTGTCGTTAATTGTTCAGAACCATATACTTCTTTTTAAAAAACAATAAGCGAAAGTACCAAGTCATGAAACTATAGCGACTGACGTGCAAATGAGTTTAGTCTCATCTAACGCAGTTAAGCCCTTTTGCTAACTCATTTAGCCGACAAAGTCATCCGCACTATAACAACTTATTGTACCCTTATTATTTTGTGCTTGTATGAAATACATATGCTTGAACATTGTTTAGCGCCTACGCATGTATTCATTCTGCTAGCTTCATTATTAACTGCTTAATCTATTCGCTGACTCATCCATTTTCCTATATATATATATATATATATATATATATATATATATATATATATATATATATATATACATTTGCACCCATTCACTACTACTGCTACTGCTACAATCGTAGTTCACTTGCTCATTCATTTTGCCTCTCTGCTGTCTGGTCTGAATTATCTGCTAAATAAACTGTAGTAGCTGCTTTTTTTGCCTTCTGATCTCAAACACCGTTGAAAATAATACGATAACGGTTCGGGGGTGATTAGTCATCGAAGCACAGCCATTACAAAACTAGTATTTTTTTTATCTCAGCAGTCAACGAGTTCATTTTCACTTTGAGCAACAATGAACGTCAAGCAAGTCAAATTATAAATAAAACGTGTTTTATACTGTTAAAATTTACCTTCAACTGTTATTTTTTTCTTACTTTAGCTCATAAACCATTTGCCTGTACAAGATGTACAAAATCATTTTCAACCAAATCAAATCGTGAACGTCACATGGAACGTGTGCATCGAGTTAGTTTAAAACGACAACGTCAACGTTTTCATCAGTCAAATATGAGTATACAAAGTCCTTCTAGTGGTGATAATCGTTCTGAGTTAAGTGGTCATAATTCTAATCTAAATTCTATTAGTCGAACTAATATTGGAGATAATGATCAGGAACTTGACAATATTGAAGAACTGAGAGAAGATGAAATAATATCCATGAATTCAAATGAAAAGCAGGCGGAAGATATCAGTAATAGTCTGTTGATACGAGCTGGAGATCCAGTAGTGGAACCCAATCCTGAGAGATTATATAACGCTGCACTACTTGCAGTGGCGAATTCTACAAGAAGTGGTCTAACAAACTATTTAAATGACACTTCTTCGAACTGTATAAAAGATATTCCTCAAAGTATGTTGCCTACTGTTCCAGTCCGATTAGGAAGGACGGGAAGGGTTGGCAGGCGTCCTAGGCGCGGCAACATACTGAATATGAGGAGCAATGTTCTGGATAAAGACGATCAAATGACTTTTCGTACAATTCCTCAAACAAGTAATGCTAATAGTTCTATGCATGATGACGTCACAGAACCACCAGTGGATTTATCTATGCATTCAGCGTCAAAAAATGCATCTTCAACACTTTCTTGTCCAGTATGTTCAGTACCAGTTGCAAGTAGGTGTTTTCGCCGTCATCTTACACTACATCAACTAGACAATCCAGTTTTTCGATGTCATTTGTGTCAGCTTACATTCCAAGATCAAGTTTCAACTTTAACTCATTGGGCTATGGAGCACTCAAACGAGTGGGCTAAATTTGTTAAAAAACTAAGCTCAAGTGAAAGGTCAGCTGATGTTTTAACGCAAATCCAGCTAACTTTGAGTAAAAATAATCAGACAAAAGCTGAGTTAGAGAAAGACAATGAAACTAACAAAAACTTACCAGAATCAAAAGATCCAATTAATTACTCCTTAAAAACAACCACTTACGATATGCGCTATGTGTCATGTTGTGTTTGTCTTCATCGCTTTGGTAGTCAACAAGATTTGCAAAGGCATATGAGATCCCATACTGGTGAGCGGCCTTTTGTTTGTCCACATTGTGGGAAAGAATTTTCTTTGAAACACAGCATGCATAGACATGCTCGTGTTCATATTAAGGAGAATGTTCGAATAAATGCTTCCAAAAACGCCTCCCTACCTACAAACAATCATTCATGTCCTACTTTTAAATCGGAGGAGATTAGCTGAGCAATTTTTTGGGTTATCTTTTCTGTATTTCACTAATCAAGCGCCACACTTTGAAGTATTTTCAAAGTTTACATCTTTAAAATATTCGTTTCAAATGTACTTTTCCAGTTTCCGTTTCCATGCTTCATTAAATTCATCAGGAAATTTCTTTGGTGCTTATGGTTACAAATTTTATTGTAAATTGACCTAGTGTTATCATCAAAAATTTACTGCATCTTAACGGAATTCTTTTTACAGTTATGTTACGGTGAAGGTTAAAAATGCATTTTTGAAAACGATCAAACGCTCTAAAACTTTATTTACACTCTGGATCTGGCCATCATATCATTTATTTTACCCCCTCGCAAGTATTTCGATGTTTCTCTTTGAACTGTCTTACCTAATTTAAAAAATATAAAATTGTACCATCTCCATTGAACTTCGTGATAATGTACTATTATTCGTTAAGCTACTCATAAGTAGCAAAATTGATTTGGCTGTTTTTAAACCTTACGAGATTATTTAGTTAATCTGGTCAGTTGGAAAGGATTAGTTGATTTCAGGTTTGGTGTTTATTTAGGCTTTATGATTTTTATTGATGTGGGTTTCGTGGACAATTTAGGGAATAATATGAAATTAAATCTAAGACATCAGTAAAATAATAATCATGATTTCATTCAAAAGCTTCAGAACTGTAACCAATATGTATCCACCCATTCTTTCCAATATAAAATGAATTATTCATTACAAATTATACAGCCAGGATTAAGCAGGTCATATTAGCTAATTATTACCGAGTGGTAAGTAATAAATTTACTATCTAGGGAACACAACTTGTCATTCAGTTTGGGGGCATGCAGAATATAAGCAGAAGTAAAGCTTATAGCCAGAAAATGAGATAATCTGGAGGCGATATATATAATCTAGGTTTAATCAGTTAGAAAATCCAGTTTCTTCTCCAAACTGAATTACGACAGTACGGAGTTACACTAAAAGATTTTAGTTTGTGACCGTCCCTGTTACAACCTGATCACTTTTGAAGTAGCATAGGAAGATTCTTGTCAATGGTACTAGGATCATAGTAATAGATCAATAGCACCAATTCGATATATTTCACTATTTTATGAATTGAATCTGATCAAAACCGAAACTTCCAATAGGTCATGTATTTACAAATATTTAATATCAGAATTAACCCAACTGAGATAACGCTTTCACACAACTTGTAACTATATATGATTAAAACAAAATACGGGTCTAAAATATGAGTTAATGTTATCATAATATATCTCACTTCTTGTTTAGGATAAACGGGTATTATTTTACAGAGCAAGTACTGTAATGCTGGTATGGGTTAACATTTCCTAGAAATGAGTCTGTTCAGATATGTAGCTATAAAACTGAACAACATTTGAGTACATCCTAGTTATATGCTTTCGCAATGTCGAAAGATTTTCCTTTCAGGTCATCAAATGAACTGTCTTCAGTAAATCTATATTTTTCCAATAGTTAGGAGTTGAAAATTATGATTTACACCAGAGGCTATAAAACTTCCTACAAAACACTGGTTGAATTTAGATACGTTGTTGTCACATACAAAATCCGAAGATGGTTTTAGTTATGATATTGACTAGAGACATTTAATGATGAAACTGACGCTTACTTGTTGGAGACAGTGACTGATCATTGAGTAAAAACCAATCTTGTGGTTGTCTAATCTTCAATACTGGTTGGATTTTATTGATCAAATCGTTCCCAGTTTGAGTGACTCATGATTGCCTACAGTATGTTGACTTAGTGTAAATATCATAGTTTCTTCTAATATCAGTTAAAGGATGAATGGTTAAGGGAAAAACGTCAGTGACTATGACAATGCATGGTACGTGTGAATCATATGAGGAGCATCATTTTCATTAAGAGTGAAGAATTCCAAGTACCACTAAACCTGGATTCAGAGCTTTTTACCAAACGACTACCATATATATCTAAAACGATTCAATGTCATGTATTCTATTACAATAGTAAAAAGTGACACATACTGATAAATATCAATCAACCTATCTATTTTAGCGTTGAAATGAATGAAAATTAATAATTGCTCAATTCAGTAGAGATCTATATTGGCAGTATGCAGGTGAAATAAAAGAAGTTACATCATATAAACTACAAATCAACAAGAATTATCATAAAAAGATTTCTGCATGTTAAACAGAATAATAAACAGTAACGAGAGAGAAGGTAGATCTTTAGTGATGATGATACAAGAAGCTCATCCAGTTTTATATATATATATATATATATATATATATATATATATATATATATATATATATATATATATATATATATATATATATATATAGATATATATATATATATATATATATATATAACTTTCCGTTCGGCTGTAAATCAAGTACCTTGCTTGAATAATGTGGAGTTGAAAGAAAGCTTAGACCGTTTCAAATTATTACATCAGTATTTTGCGCATTGTCAAGGGAAGTATTTAGTCTCCGATAGAGTGTTTTGTTGATGGGAAACCAGATTACATAATTTTGATATTGGTATGACATAATAATTGCTTTGTAAATATTTGTATGAAATATGCTGATTATAATACAGGACTTGATCATGTACTAAAGATTTTCACTGATAAGGTCAAACCGTGGATAATAGAGCACATTTTCGTTAGATTCGTAGATTTCTATTCCCTAAATTGCATTCAATAAGACCACTTATTTTAATAGCTTTCAGTCAATAATATGTACAATAGATAATTTACTTGTATTCTCTAAATTTTGCTATCTGATCATTTAGCATCATATTTTTAACGTTTACTGATTACTTTATTTTGTGGTACTTGAGGGGTCTAGGAACCAGCGGTAAAGATTTTTTAATAACTTCTTGTTCCTTAACACACTCAATACTTTGAAAACATGAATTCCAGTGGTGCAATAATATTAGATGATGTACTTTGGTTTTCCCATGTTTCCAAATATTATAATAAAAGCCTGTTACAAATAGATTCCTGTTATATCCTAACGAAGAATAAATGAATGGTGACTGCTAGGAATCATTTCTGTACTGCTGTTATATATATATATATATATATATATATATATATATATATATTCTTGTTGTATAATTACTGAGTAACTAAATAATATATGTTTATATTTCTCTATTATAAGCTTTCACTTGACCTATCGGCAAACATTATATGATATACTGTTCTTAGGTTATTCCCATTTATTAGTTACAGTCTCTCACACTCACAGCCACTTATGGCTTGATACCATATAATTGTTGTTTTTTATTTTATCGTATGATGAGGTCCGATTCGCTTGCATATAAACTGCGTATATCCGAAGCACATGATTCATACAATGTAAGCTGGGTAGGGCTAAGCGAGAAGAACCAATAAGGGCTCAGAGTTGACTCTAGGTTGATCGCGTTGGTTAACGTGTCATTGGTTTGGCACGGTGTCAAGGTCGTATAGGTCGGTGTTCTTATTGACGATCTCGTCATGTGATAATCGACAAGGCAAAAAGACATAACAATTCCGAAAAAAATCTTTGTAGTGTTGTGTAGAACTGGTCTAGCAAGAATAGTTAGATTTATTAAAATCGTTAGTCGTAAGAAAATTCCAAGTTACCTTGTTTAAGCAGAAGTAGTATGTACTTATATTAAGTTTACCTTGGTAATGTTGATTCAGTTTGTAACATCAAAGAGTGTGAGTGATATTTCACTTTGTTAACTTATTCAATTCATACTTATATAGAAGTTTTATTATTGACTTTTGAAGGAATTTAAGGTTTGTATCTGTGAGCTGATAAAGTTAAATTATTTCAAGACATTTTGAACATTAGAGACTTATTTAAAAATACAAATTGTACTTGAATAAAACTAAAGTTCACAGAGAAATTAAGTAAATATCATTTCATTTTCTAATTAAATCTCATTCCAACAAATAAATAAATCATCTAGAAGTTGAGACAGTGTTGCATGTACAATTGAACAAGCTTTATTCTTCCATAATCTTGAATTCGGTGAAATAGTTTTGATGAATTCAATTAATTCATTTGATTCTTGAATATCGTCTGGTAAAATTTGTTGATCAGTGAGTGGGAATTTATCATCACTTTCTATTAAGACTTCATCCAATGGTTTGGTTTGTGTAAGATTCTATAGAAAAAAAATATGGGATTTAAGAAGATTAATGGATATTTTAATTGAAGAGCATTGAAACAAGTAGGTATCTGTCAATTAAAAAAATATTTTAAAATTACTGGAAATATTTAATATACGTTTTAAGTACTTCGTTTTGTTTAAATGAATGTTAAAAGTAACGGTACATGATATTACTTGAAGAATTAACCTTGAGAGTTAGGTCTTAACACATGACGAAAACGTCCCATCATATAATCGTCTGTTGGATAAGTGACATCTTATCGTGCCTTTTAGTAAACCTAACACTTCATATGGACGTATCTCACTTTAATAGAGAAACGGATCTGTTAATTTTCAATATGTATTTATTTGGAGGCCTACCAGAATAATTAGGTTTCGTGAGCATTTATTGGTTGACCAGATTGTATCGTTACAAATCACTCATTGATTAGCATTCTATTCAACATTTTAAAAATTTCAGGACGTGCATAATCATAACGCATCCACAATTATCCAGCAGTCAGTCAGTAAGTCATTCAAAATTAACATTGAATCTGTGACAACTGTGTATCATTCCAAGTTGCCCTTACCACATGAGCACGACAAGATTAAATTAATAAAATAAATGACAAAAGAGTTAAAATAACAGTATCATAAAATGTTGTAAGAAAGACTGCTGTTAGAGGATACCGTTCAATAGGAAGGAATGAATTCAAGAAATAAAATATCAAAATAATGTTAAGATCTAAGAGAGTATAGGGAGGTAAATGGATCTAAAAATAGAATCGCCAACAACATATTGTGGCTATTAGGTTGACCCTGACCAGATAGTCTGCACTAGCCAACACAGATTAATCTAACAGTCTATGATCCCAAGTTCGACCAATGGCTATTTTAGTAGAGTACATGTACCTGTTCTGTGTCGCTAGGTTAACTAAGAAAAATATTTATTCAAAGAAAAATCTATGTTAAAATGGAACAATCATTCAAACCATATCAATGTCATTATTAATTGTTGTGTTGTCTTCTTTCTTTCGGACAGCCATTGGCAATGAGTACCATACAGTGAAAATCTAAGTTCAAGGCTTCTTGTTGATTGCTTTCAACCAGTTAATATCAAAATGATAAACATTTCTTATAATCGTAACAAAATAATCACTTACTCTTGTTACTGCAGATGCAGGTGTTCTATCATTTGTTTGATTTACAATTTTACCACCTCTCTGTGCTAAACAGAAACAAAGAATAATTAAAGGGTGCATAAGATCATTTTGCTGTGCATAGTATTGTTGTAAAAGAAATGAATTTGATTGATGCAATATGTAACTATCGTGGATTTCTTATCAGTTAATAAATGTCCCGTAAAACAAATTCAAATTTATGTCAATCGATTAGGTAGGTTAAAAGAAAACATTTAAAGTTATTATGAGTCATTTTTGATTTTGACTAATGTTATATCCCGACGAGAATCATGAATGGTAACTCATGAGAACTGTTTGTGGATCAATATGATACATATATTTTTGCTATATAATTGGTAGGTAGCTAAACTATGCACATTCATGTTCCTCTTATTATAAGCTTTATTTTGAGCTATATATTATTATTATACGATTTGGTGTTCTTGAGTTATGCCCAGTCTATTAATTACAATCTCCCACATTCACAGTCCCTTTTGGCTAGATGTTGTAAAAATGTTATTTTCTATTTTATGGTACGATGTGGTCTATTTGGTTTTTATATATACCCGGTATGTTTAAAATACATGATCTTGGAGGCTGAGATTGGTGTTCTGAACTCAACAGGCTGGGTTAGACAAGAAGAAGGACCGATAAAAACTCTAGACTGCTCGTACAGGTTTTATGCGTCATTGGTCCAGTCGATAGTTCACTGTTCTCTAATTGGCGGTATCATTATGTTATAGATCAATAGGGCACGAAACCATAAGTTATGACAACTAACCTAGTTATCAACTGTTTTTCTTTTGTTAAATCTATTTTAGTTACTGACTGTTAATTTCGAGTCTAAAAATTTTACTTATTCAGGAAACATTTTCTACTGACATTTTTGCTATACTACTGAAAGACCAATTATTTGTATTTTTTCCATCAACATTATTTTGATGAATTAACTCAGAATAACTATATACAACTTGACATTTCATACCTCTTTAAATACAGTCAAAAATTGAGCGACACACCAATCATTGTCTTCAGTGAGTTACTATCTCACAACAAACCCGGTTGAACTCCATTGGTCACTACTTCTCACTGGAATCTCAGGATATACCTCTCGTGGATGCGCACTGCTGAGGAGTCCCACAATAGGACGAAACGGCCATTCAGTGCTTCCAGGTTTTCCATGGTGGTCTAGCTTCAATTGACTCGTGATCTTAACTATTAAAATAACTATAATGTCCACAAAAACCTCTTCTGATAACAATCATAAATGTTTGGAAAACAAATGTTTCCGAAGCATCTATTTTCATATGAATAAGTAATCTTTTTCTACGAATTACTTAGTATTTTATTTAGTATAAACTATTAGCATTTTACCAGTATGAGTTACCAAATATTTATGGCCCAGGTTTGACTTGGTAATTTTAAGGAAATTGAGCATTCAGTGGATTGTTATTAATAAAAATAATATATTTGTAATATTCCAATGAAGCTGAAGGCAGCCTGTTTGAATATCTGGGCTACCTGTTCCTGCCATCTAGATATTTCAACATGTTGTCTGTTTTTGTGCGTTTATGAAAAGTTTACGATCTTTCGCCGTACAACTTACAAAAAAGTACAATCAGAGACATTGTGGTGGATGTCAATATGTATTAAAAAAGAATGATCATTGTTCAAATGTCAATTCCTGAGCTGCTAACATCTAATTGGCGACCACTCAATATTTGTCATCAGGATCGATCAAGAAATAAGAAAAGAAAACTTGATGAAATACTTTGAGCTAAGAATTCTATATTGTACAAAAATATAATATTGAATAAGGCCATTAATAATAATAATAATAATAATAATAGAAAAAATTTTCATTATTGCATCGGTATGTTTTATAAATTATTCAGTTATTCAGAAATAAATTAATTGAATTTCCATTAGTCATTATGACTTACTCTTTATTGGACAACTAGTAAGTTCTGGAAGTCCATGGAGATACCGAAGATTTGAACACAAATCAAAGAGATTTTCAACAGTTTGCGACAAAAGTATGTAGCTAAAAATAAAGAATAGCGAAATTTCGTAAGAAGTATTCAACATTTACAGTATCCTTCATGAATTCAGATAATATAATGACTAGACATTTTATCTTGAACTGTGTAGTAATATTGGCTCAATGCATTCCAGGAAATTCTGATAACATATTAGCCTATTAAGATGGATATAATGTTGAGAGGGAAATAAGTATTATTATTATTCTACACTAAAAGACTGTATTTTCATTACAAGCTCAGTAGAACTCTGCCAAAACTGAGTGGAAAGATTAATCTATATGACTGCTACTATGAAAAGCTGAACAGTTGTTCATAACGTCCTACACATGACTTAGTTTTTAAAAATCTGAAACCAAATTTTATGTACTGCACTGATAATGTTAATTATACTAATTACTAAATTGAATACTTCTTTTAACAAGTTTCGGATAATGTTGTAAGCTTAACAGAATCTATCGTTTGAGCCCAGTGTACGCTGACATTTTGTGAGATATTAAAATACCTTGTTTGTTGAGAATCATAAGTAAGAAATATCTGCAATATTGATAAAGTTCCTGATTTCTAGAAGACTTGTTATTCAAAGAAATTGTTACAATTAACTTGATCATTAATAACGATTCACTGAAGACATTCTAAACTACTGTTAGTGAATAAAAAGTAAGCAGTTGTAGAAATATTTCAACTGTCCAATACAATAAAGTTGTAAATAGTTTTTACAATTTACGGTTACGTCATTTTTATGTCGATCAGAGCTGGTTTGTCCAAATTATAATCTATTCAGCGAATAATCCCAAATGTTTTACGAATACCTTAGAACAACATGTATAAGCGAAAAATATTGTTTTCGATTAACATTTAATAATCTCAATAGTTGAGATCATGAGTCAAATTGAAACTAAACCACCATGGAAAACCCGGAAGCACTGAACGGCCGTTTCGTCCTATTGTAGGACTCCTCAGCAGTGCGCATCCACGAGAGGTATATCCTGGGTTCCAGTGAGAAGCAGCGACCAATAGAGTCCAACTGAGTTTTAAAAATATACATTATAGTGTAAAGTTAAATATTTACGGTACTATTTATAATGATAACATAAAATTCAACTGAAATTCATAATCAAGAATGCCATTTAAAAGTTTAATCAAAGATAACCATTTCAAGAAAGATATATTTAAAAAATATTGATAGTATACCCGATTCTATAACGTTCTACAGATGTATTTGTAAAACTTATTTTTGAAGGAAATACTAGCTGGTCGACAGATTGAAAAAAATTATTAAATTCTTCTTCCCTTTTAGCTGCAGCATTTGCCTTGGTCATATCAGGTGAGTATTTGTAAATCATCTATAATTATATTATAATTTATATATATATATATATTATATATATATATATATGTATATATATATATATATATATATATATTATATATATATATATATATATATATAGGTTTTAGAATAAATAAACATAGATACAAGAATATTTTGCATTCAATAAAAGAAAATCTAAATGTAAGTTTTATGGGATATTGTTTTGAAATCGTATCAACTATAAACTAACGCTACAGTGAATGTTGGTTGGTAAGTGAAGATATGAAACACAAGAGTTCTGATTCAATGAAAATCTATTAAATTCTGTTGTCATACATCCTTAGTTTTATATGTATTAAATGTAGTATGGAATAAGTCAAGGGTGTAGAAGTGAAACCATAATTTTAATAGCCTAAAGGTGTTAAAATATTTGTTTATTATCATGTTTTGTTATTTCACTACATTTTGTGTCTTTAAGTTAATTATCTTTCTTTTTTGAATGTTTAAAGGATACACTCCACTTAATAGACGATCTAATGACTAACTTCCACATTAGAATAATGGATCAAAAGTTTGTTATAATACTTTGATAATTTCGGACATTTCTGCATTAACTTTACTTTGTAAGCCTTTTGAGATTAGTTGACTTCAGGCATTACCTAACATATTAGAGTGTTAGTTTTTGTAAAGTTTGGTAGATAACTATGAAAGCAAATGGTTTAAGTTTAAAAAAAAGTCATTTCATACCACAGGTTATCAACTACAGTACTGGAAAATAACACATTTATTACTAATAAAACATTTTGTTAAACGTATATTGGTTATCGTTAAGATACACGAATCACAGCTAGTTCAATATGAGATTAGGAAATTAACAGTAGATTTCAAAACAGTGACACGCATTGGAACCCAGAATTTCGAGTATACAAATAGTAGACAGGGCCATACTAAGCATTGTTGGAGGACAACAAGACAGCTTCTCGACTAGAATACTATTTATAACATGAATGTTGAGATGAAAACAAGTTAATTGTGTAATATACTGATGTTTCCTCAAACTTAGCTCATTTGAGCAATTAAGCCTTTAGAATTATTTATTTTTACCCTACATCTACGTGTATTTTCATTTGTTACCGTTATTTTCAATTCATTTATCAATTTACCAAGGCTGATAGTTTCCACTTTATCAGTGGTATTTTGGCAGTAATTGAGTTTCCTTCATAGTAATTTTATTTTGTAATAACTGAAATCGTATAAAAAAATATCCGATTTCAGATAAGCAACCGAACAACACACGGCAGATTTTTTAAATGTTCATTAGAATTCATACTCACTTTTCTTAGTTCAGCTATTGAATATCTCCAATTATCAGTGTTGGATAGAATTGTTTCATTATCATTCCCATGAAATTTAACTTCTCTTTCTCTCATCTCTTTATAAAATTGTTTCAGTTTTTGAATTACATGGTGTTTATAGTGGAACTGTACAAAATAAACAAATGTCAAACACAGATTATTACATTTTGACACAACAATGAAATAGTGTTGTACTCGCTGCAAAATTTTAAGATCTTGTGTTAAGAGCCCTTATTGAATTCACAAGTGAGTAGTGTCTTAGTCATTCCTAAAACTAAAAACATTTGACTATCTAGTTTCATATGGTTTTCTGACTAATACCGTTTTATCATGATAAA